TCTGTATCTGACTCTTGTTCTGCAACTGAAGCGCGAGCCTCTGAGTCTTTGAAGCCTGCTGTACACAGAGCTCACAGTGGGAAAGTGGCTTCTTTGATTTGCATCACAGAACTTTGGTCTGAGTCCAATAAAATATACATATGTGCCATGTATAGCGTATAATACCATTCTCTAAGCGCACCATGTGTACAAGACCTTTAAAGAGTCAGATCCAGGTCAGGTGAAACCACACACCTGTCAAAATGTATTATGGAAAATGATCAAAAATAAATACATTTGCTGTTTATTAGTTGTTTTAAAGAGTATAATGGATAGATTACATCACACTAGTCTGCATCGCATTAATAGAATTCATAAATGTGTTAATCGGGTCTTCGCTGGTATCTGCGCAAAAATTAAGAAAGCATCCTCTGCTTTGCTTTTTTTGACTGTTAATCAGCTTCAGTGCTCTCTGAAAACCTCTCTGCTGTTTGAGGCGTGTTAAAATTAGACCAGACTGTCATTCACACGCCGTCATTCTCTCACTTTCGCTTTCCAAAAATGAAGACTCGGCCTTGACATCTTTGAAGACAATTCTATAAAGAACAATTCTTTTTTTCTTCTTCTTCTTCTTTCGTGCACTGTGAAGAGAGAAGTTTCTTTTCTCTTAATTGCGTTCTTTGGTCTGAGCTTGATCGAGGGCATGTTTAGTTTCACTTCCTTCCTCTATTCCATTTCCTGATTTCCTGTGCACGTTGAAGCTCACGGCCGCTCTGACTGACAGACTTTTAGCAGCTGGTTGGTTTTGCGGCAGCGTGCTCACTCTGAAGCTGCAGTTTAAAATCCTGTGTCATGGAACGCAACAGCAGGCTAGACAAGTTTGGGGCACAAGGACAGATTTCAACTTCAATCAAATGATATAATTATATGCTTTTAAACCCAACGCAGTAACAATTTCATGGCGTTCTTTGCAAATTCACAGCCAGTCACTGGTTGTCCTTTACCCTATCCTTTCACTATTGTGTTTTTAGTACATTCTGTGACAGACACTCAGACAAATGCAACCAGCTCACACAGGGAGGGTTTGCTGGTTGCACCATGACAAGCAATCCACGGTTCCTCTTAAAGCTAAAGCCTGAATTCCACTGAGTCAAAAACAACTACTGATTATGTGGTCTTTGTTGGGTAGAAAACCAGAATGCTGCTTGGGCTGTGGTTGAGCTGCGTCTAGACTACAATTATGGTCGTCCCTGCAATGTAGAAGCTCTGATCAAAATGGGTCAAAAACTTGCTTTATATTGACACTAGGTCCTGATACTGATATACTGATGCTAGGTAAAAGCAAATGCTGTGCCGTTTGCACAATTCCAGACACACAAACAGACGAATGTCTACTTAACCAATCTTTGTTCATTGTACTGACATCTTTTTTTTTTCCTTTCACCAAAGGGCAACCTCTTAGTTTGAAAAATGATGCCTACACACCAGTGCCAAAACATAAACTGCAGTTTTCTAGAAGGCTTAAAAACAAGTCATCCCCCACAGACTCTTCCATTGCCCAACGTCGCTTAAGAAATAAGCATGTTTACTCTCTTTTTGGACAACTTCCTTTTAATGACAACTGCAGCAGAGGTGCATTTTTACATACCTCATTTATTTATATTGTATTGAAGCCTAAATACATGAGACATCAGCCACAAAGACAACAGTTGTCTTCAAAGCTTCACCGTAGCTAACTGGAGTCAGTGAACTAGACCTCGTAATCGTGTTTGTGGTGTTTTCACTGTGTCGGGAATCTTTACCTGATAAAAAAGTATTCTTTGCTGTCCAGTTGGTAGCAATAGACCACCTAAGAGGTTGATAACATGCATATATGACTGTGTTCCCTATAACTGATGGATGCACTTTGCTAACCAAGTAAGCATTAGCGTTAACTTAGCCCTCCAACTTCTTAGCCAAATATGGCCACTTCAAGCTCCAAGAACCAAGAGCAACAGAAAAAATGCTAAACTCAAGGCTTTAAAAAAGTAGCCTTCACCAGAAAAAAAGCTACAGTGCACATCAACTCATTTCATTAGTATGAGCTGAGAATCCCCAATAGATTGTTGCCCCTCACTAAGTCTGCCAGAAATTTCTTCCTATTAAAAGGACGTTTTTCCTTCCCACTGTCGCCAAATGCTTGATCATAGTCGTCTGATTGCTGCTGTTTTCTCTGCATTATTGTAAGATCTTGGTCAACTATTGTTGTTATTTGGTGCTATATAAATAAAAATACAGACATCAGGTACTTTATTTGATCATTTCACAGCTTTTTCATCCAACATCCGAGTGACCTACTGGGTCTCTGATGGCCTGACATGGTCCATTTCCTAACAGAAATGAAACACAATATAGACCTTACCAATAACCTAAACACAATTAATGGTGCAGAGAGAGAAGCAGCCCTGATTTCGACATCACGCACATGAGCTCTCCAGAGATTCTGAAGCATCATACATTAATTAAAGCAGCCAACCTCAACGCAGCAGGCTAGCCCTGCAGGTCCCATTATGTCCTCTGAGATGCCTCTGTGGAGGCTAGACAGGCCCTTTGTAGCCCTGTCCTACCACTGCCTTTGTCTTTCCCTCTCGTAGGTCCCATGGGTGAGGCCACAGTGGCGTCCCATGTGTTATTATTGGCCAATGATAAAGTAGCTGCCACGGTCCTCATGAATTATGCAGGGTGAAAGAGGGAAGCAGCTCCACCCTCAGTTTCATAAATTTAACTTAGAGGAGACAGAGGGAGGAAAGTTGTAGGGGGGCTTCTGTCACCCTTTTTTTTTACGATTATGTGCATGTAGGAGGAGTTGGGGGTGCTTATATCCAGCCTCATGTGGTGTGAATGTGCTTGAAAGGAAAAGCTATGAGTTATGGTTTTACTGACATGCCAGCCTGAGAACAAATACTCGCTACTCATAGTAGTACCTTGTAAGCAGAACCAAAGCTTCGAGTACCTGAACCTATAAAGAGGTCGTAAAGGTGTATAACTGCTGCTATGATCTCGTAGATATTCTGTTCAGCCAATGGGAAGTAATGCACTTCACACCCTACTGCAAAAAACAAAAGGTGAACTACAATATGTGTGTTGCGTTAGCAATTACAACAGAATAACGCCCACCTAGAAACCTCGGACTTAACAGAGAAAGCTATTTCACACTGTTTAACTTGAATTTGGGAAATACAAAAACACAGTGGCAACATCACCGAATGGACTTTGTAAACGTATGGGATCGTGCTCAAGCCTACTACTAATGCTCATTTGCCTTTGAGTGTGGCTTCATCACTGACTCGGTTTGTGTAAGCCATCCAACCGTGCATAAAACACAGTCTGTCTATAAATAAGCTAGTCTAGGCCGGGCCAGGCCGGGCACTGAGCGTAAATGCAGTTCATAACCTTTCCACACACAGCATGTCATTATGTCACGGCTGACAGACAACACTCAACTACTGATAACTCTCCGTTAGAGCAGTGACATTGATTCAAACGTAACATCTGCCAGTAAATGGACTAATAGGCTTCTCTTACAGCCCCGATCAGGTTTACACAACTGACTGTGTAAGCAGATCCTTGAAAAGGATTATTTCCACTGCCCCTGATAACATTAAAATCTTCTAGGCTTTCTTAAAACGGCCACTTGACCCGGACGCAGAGCTCAAACAGCGGATTCCCAATTCAATTGTGAACGAGCGGTAACTGCATATCATATCGACTGTGCCTTTTTTCCAGGAAACAAGCCTAATCCCCTCCTCTCCATCAGACGTGCAGTACATCACGGTACAGATATCATACCTTAATCACCTGTTTGGAGTGGATGAGAGCATTAGAGCATCGATTACAGGTAACACACGGTAATGTGTGTGCACGGCTGTGTGTGTTATTCAGGCAGTTTAATACTCCTACAACAGGCCTGCAGACTCAGTAGGTGAGTGGCTATGTCACTGTGTGTGCTGTCACCACGCCAGACGCCCAGATTCACTGTTATGAAGGTGAATATTAATCTGGTCCTGGTTCAAGCTGTCCTGTCATTGAAGCAGATGGTACCAAAATAAAAGTAGAGCCACATGGCCACATCTATCTGGCTATCTATCTATCCCATAAACTAAAGACAAAGGAGATTATATGGTTGCCTTTGTTAACTCTTACTCTTCCTTAGGCAAGCCAAACAAGCCATTTTTGCTTGGTTTCTCTTTTCTTTTTTAAAGCACTGCACTCCTATCTGTCATCTTGAATCATCTTTTCTTTAAAACAAAAAACAATTCTCTAATTAGCATCGTTTACAAGAACGGCTTAATCTTATGCCCTGTGTACAAACATCATGCGCAAAAGGCCTGCTGAAGAGCCCATGTTTATTTTCTGACCTGTCTCGTGTAGAGCAACCACCAACCACCAGCTACTAAGTGAAGTGACAGAATTTGAGAAAGTCAGCTTGTGGTCGTTTTCGCTCACGCTACAACTTTCATGCAGCGCAAAGTTGGCTACCAAAGTCCGTCCATTTTTTCCTATATTTTAGCGATTTCCCCCTCCGTCTGTCAAACCTGTTCACTCCGTAAAACAGCGAATATGAGCTCTCTGAAATGGAAAGGAGCACGTTTTTTTCTTCGGCATACGTTTCGCACACGGACAAGGCCCTCAAGTTGACGACACGGCAACAAACGTGAGCTGACACCGTCGCTTTTGTGCCGCTTTCCGCCGCTGAACCTCACAGTTTGGGGATCGGCGGCAACCAAGATCTTTGGAAAAGTTCGACATTTGTTGAAACCGTGCCTTTATTTGTAAACCACGTTGTGCCGAATTACAAATGAAGGCTCTGCAGTCGAGTTAAGATTTGATGGTGTTGTAGCAGAAGTCCATTTTTTACCGAAAAGCAGTGAAACTTTAAAGACGCTCAGTTCTAACGGAGTCTGGCCCTCTCAACCGGGACCAAGTTTCGGCGACGAAAGGGAGGAACGGACAATAGGGGGTGTCTGCGGTCCGCTTCTTACCTGTGACATTTGCGGCCGGAGGTTGATCTCCTTCAGGTTGATGGTCTGGGGTCTGAGGTTGTTGAGCAGATGGCACAGGAGGACTCCATCCCGGAGGGTTTGAGCCAAGTCAAATACCTGAGCAGAGTCCCACGTAACCCGGTGGTTAGCTGGGAGCACCTTGCAGTTTATCAGCCACAGCGCGCATTGCCTCCAGTACTCCATCATTATTGTGACTTCGGCCGGGAGAGCTTCAGGAGGTTTCTTTAAATGAAACTAATGACTGTTAGGTGGTGTCTTACGCGTTAGCCTAAATCGTATCCATGCTACAACTCTAAAAACCCGATGAAAGCTGAGGAGGACCGCTGCACAGGGTGGCGGAGATTCAGGAGACTGCTCCAGGGATGACAGTCCGACACAGTGAGAGAGGCTGTGGATGGAGCGCACCCTGCACCCTTCCTATCTCTCTCTCTCCCTCCCTCGCTCCCTCTCTCACTCACTCACGCTCTCTCTCCATCTCTCTATGACTCTCTTCCCTCCCCCTCACCCAGCTCTTCACCTCTTCCGCTTGCCACCCATAGGCTCGTGGAGATGCGTCTATTGCAATGCAAGAAATAACCACATAAAGCATACAGTAACACTTACACTAAATACACACAGGCGCTAAAGCATTTTAAACTCCTGTTCACCGTCAAGTATCAGAACTACAAACTGCAAATATTCCAGCTGCACAGACAGAGTAATGGGAGGTGCTGCTTAAATGCTTTAATGATTACACACACTAAATGAATATCTGCGTGAGACACGGAACCCACTTTCATTCCACATGCACACATGCATTTTTGCTTCCCATAAAATGTGATATTATTTAAAAAAAAAATTTTTTTTTGCTTAATATCTATTTGTACCCTCTTTTGAGATAAGCCACAGTGGAGTGTTTTACAGCAGTTATATCTGTTGCATTAAGTATGTGGTGTACTACTATGTGGTGCGCCCCTGCTGATCCTTTCCCATCACCTTCCACGTCAGGACAGTATTGAACTGAAGCATTTTGTCTGCATGTGTCTGCTTTGTATTTTCTGCAGTCAAGGGTGGCCACACGCTCCTGTTCAGTGATGCATCGAGGGCGTTTGAAGAAGAAATCCTGCATGAGTGAATGCACAAGAAGGCAGATGTGCCTTATTTGCTGATGTTCAATATGCTGGAGACACGCTGCGCACTCAACTTTTAACCAGGAAGATTTCAACGGCGCTGCCGCTGATTTGTCAGCTGTAGGAAAGGAGAACTCACGCTTTTTGTCCGACTTTGTCATCCTGGAAAGTATTTTCTTATGTTTTTGTTATTTATTCCTTATCAGATGAAACCATTCCAGGAACATGAATTATTATGGAACCTGCATTACCTGATTATGAAACAAATACTTCTGTTTTTGCATCTACTTCCATCCTAATAAAGCTTCAAACAGTCACTAAATAAACACCATAAACAACTGAACAACCCAGTGATCTTTACCATAAAACAGTACAGATTGGCTTGTTTTAGAGTTCATGTTTAATGATCATTTTGATATAATAGTGGAAAAGGCGAATGTATGCTGCAGTCTGCTATTTCTTCCAAAAGAGTGGCATGACTGAGCCAACACATGGTATCTGAAGATGGATTCATTTTTTATTGGTTCTGTGTGGGGAAAGAAAGAAAAATTAACTAGATTTAGACTAGAACGCTAGTCGCTGACTCTTCAGACTTACATGCATCAGATCAAGTGTACTGAACTGCTTGGTAATGGAAAGGGAAAGGATGTGGGGTAGTACAGCACGTGCGAGCTGCCTTTTCATCTTTTACCACGTGTGAGATTATTGGGTAGCCTTACACAGTTATTTGGCCCAACACACACCTAGACTCCATCCCATGTGGCTGGCATGATGTTGTTGAGCAATGCAATTAAGCTCCAGGCATGAATGTGGAGCAGGAGAGTGCACCTGTGTGAGAAATTAAACTACTTTTATTGATTCCTGTTGGTGTGCTAGCACAATAAAAAAAACAATACACAACAGAAAGTCTGCAGAGGAGACAAAAAAAGCCTGAAAAGTTAATAGCAGAACTATATACTGCTACAGAAAGATTTAAAAAGTGGAGCGATCTACCTGCCCATTGCAAAAACTGTATGAATTACATAACAGCGACTGGAATGTGAGAGTCCAGCATGTGAAAGTTAATACAATCCCCCAAGAAGAAAGTGCTGGTAATCTCATTAACAGGGCTACATGAGGCTGCTCTCAGAGTGGGCCCAGAAATTAGAGAAGATGAGAAGAGATGAGACGCACATCTTCCAGTTTAATTTCGTTTTCAGTAAGATTCTCAGTGCACTAAAGCAGATAACCACTCATAAATATATATGTATATATATATAAATGCAATGCAAAGAATGCGTGCAGATGAATACTGCCGAGTCTATTTCCATGAAATGACTGAACACATGGGGTCCGTGCAAACAATGCTGTGAAGATTAGTCTCCAGCATTTTGCGGTTGTAAACACTTCTGTGATCCCCACCCCGCATCTCAGCTCCTCATCTCCGCTTCTTCTCCTCTTATTTGTGCAGATTTGGACTTGGATGAATGTCAGGGTTGGAACAGGAATGCCTGCTCGTTTGTTTATCCACATTGGATTTAGATTTAGTGTGATTAAATATGGAGGGAGGTTGTGCGGTTTGGTTGTGAGCATCCAGCTTTGTCTTCCACAGGCTTCACTCTGGATGCCATGGCTGGCATAGCACAGATGACCGGAGAGATGGCTAGCAGCCGGATGCTGGCGGACCTCTCTGCACCCTTCTCCTGTTTCAGCTTCCTCTCCCAGAGTGGACAGCCATGACAATTATCAGCATACCTCTGATTAGTGTCCATGGGGACTGTGGGTAAACACACAAGAGTTTAAAGTGTAATGGAGGATTTTCTGCCATGCATTTTCAGCCTTTTTCATAAAAATGTTATATTCAGCTCAAATCGCAGCTACACAGAGATGCAAAAACCCAGTGATCTGAAGTAAATGCACCAAACCGTGGTATTACTGCCTTCGATTTTCCCTTATTGCACAAACAACTGATCTGAGTGTTTCTGGGTTATTTTGCTGCTTAGAACTGAAAGGTAATGACTAACCATTTGAGCGTCCAAGAAACAGCATGATAATGTCTGGGCACATATGGCAGATGTGATCTCAGTGCCAGGATTTTTTTTAATTTTCTTGTCTTGTCACAGCACATAATTAAAGTCAACAATCAAGTCAACGAGCTGTAAGGTTCACTGAGCTACTGAGGAGAAGCAAAACCAAAAATATGGCAGAAAAAGAAGATAAAAGACTGAGCTGAATAAATCTCAGGAACAAAAAGGATATTATAAGAAGACTCCTCTTCACCAGAGATCAACTTGGTTTTTCCTCCTGCTTCATTGGGTGTTTAAAATGTTTTACTAGCTGAGCTTTTTCTACAAATAACCATGATGATTTGGATTATCTTACTGCTGTAAAACTATCAAAGACCCTTATATAATTTAAAGTAATACAGCTGTTTAGATGCAGTCAACCAGAGAAAAATGACAAGAAAAATATGTTTATATTGGTTATATTGAAATTGGGTCATCCAACAGGACAAAGATCTGAAGTGCAGCATCAACGCTAGAACAAGAAAAGAATCAAGAAGTTGCAATGGTCCTGTCAATGTCCAGACTTCAATCCGACTGTAGCAGGACCTTAGGAGAGCTGTGCATGAATGAATTCCTACAAACCTCAAAGACCTGAAGCACTGTTAAAAGGAAGATTGGGCCACACTGACACAACAGACTGATAAAGTCAAACAGAAACCAGTTATTGAGGCTAAAGGTACTGGTAGTTTTTTACAGGACTGCACAGAATCCTGTAAAAACGTTCTTTTTCACTCTCATACAAGAATCTAATGTTTCACACAGCATGGTTTACATAATATTTCTCCTTTTGACCTGTGGATATGGAAGTGGCCCTGTCACCACATTAACCACCTGTACCTGTTTAACTCGAAGTGGTGCCTGAGGTACATTTGTATTCACTCTTATGCTACTTTATGACACAGAAAAGAGACCCAAACCTAAATGAACTACTCCTGTTTTAGCCATCCTGTATGTGTTACTCCGTGCTGTCAGCATTCACACCCCTTACACATTGACACTTAGCTAATATTGACATCTGCTAACTGAGTGGCATCTCCTCCACTCCCCACTGTCTTGCCAGATGATCAGAGCACCCAAGCTTTAGCAGTCCCCCGAGCATGCGGGCGTTGCAGCGTTGTTCACACTCTATCAATATCATCTTGTCCGCCTGTAAATTATGGCGCTTCAGCCCTCTCACTGTGTCACTTGATCTAGTGACAGCATGTGATCTGTTATGTGCAGCTCTTGCATCCCCTCTGTGAAAGGTGTGCTAGCTCCCTGACAGAGAAAGCGAATGCTCTCCATTTGCCTTCTGAATATTGATCTATCTGTGGCTCAATATATTTACATGAATTCAAACGGGCTGTATGTGTTCATTAAACCGCCCTTGTTTGAAGCCTCTTATCTGAGTGAATGTTTTACTATATGCAATTCCTCATTTCATTCACTGTATAAAAGGTACATTTAAAACTTACTTCAATGATTTCCAAATCTTATAAGCTCCCACTATTACACAGATGTTGTGTTGTAATGGTGAAAATGAGATATTTCACAATTTCATGAAAATATTTGATGATATATAATATGTATAAATAAAACTGAGTTGAATTGAAAACCTTTGTAGTAGAAGAGTCCCGTTGCTGAACTGGCCTGTCTGCAGTCCGGAGCAACTAAAAACATCTGGCACATCATGAAATGAAAAACTATAACAAAGAAGACCCAGGACTACGGAGCAGCAAGAACAAGAACACTAATATCCAAAATATCCAGCAGCTGGTCTCCTCAGTTCCCAGATGCTCACGGACTGCTTTTAAAAAAAGAAGAGGGGACGCTACACAGTGGTAAACATGGCCCCATCCCAAGTTCTCTGAGACATTTCATATGGTTTCTCTATTCTATTGCGATTACATTTTACACAGCGTCCCAGCTCTTTTGGAATTGGGGTTGTATAACCCAGAGGTAACACTGAAGGCGACCGTAACAACGGCGGCAACTGTAACTGGTATTGATTGTCTGACCTTACCCTTAGCACTCTATTTTGCTGTTTTAGGAGGCCAGAAGAGAAATCAATGCCCTGGGATACCCATGAGAGGTCTGGGATAAATGGAGACCGGCCAGGCTTTACTGCAGCAGTGCAGCGGAGAGGATCAGCTGGGAAAGTGTCAGAATGGAGGCAATGGAGTGGAAGATACATAGAAAAAGAGCATACCAAATCAAAGTGACAAAGAGAGTCTATGAGGGCTATTTTCTGCAGGGAGCAATTTGCCAGGCGGTATTGGAGTAGAGTTTATTAAGTGCAAGTTAACCAAAAAGAA